CGTGACGTGACGTCAGAGGCTGGTGCCGTGGAAGCACCGCGGAGGGGCAGCAGAGATCCGAGAATTAGCATTATGCTGATATTGTGTCTAGTGTACTAAGAATGGTGAAGCCGACGAGATGACCCGGCGCTCAGGAGAGAGGAAGAGCCGAAGTTTGCTGGGCGGAGGGCAGTGATCGGCGGGCGAGCGAGCCAACCGGGTTGGGCCTGCTTCCTTCTATTTCGAGAAGGGGGACTCCGCCTCAGTCTGAAACGGCAAGGGCGAGGGCCCCAGCAAAGAAGCCGCCGCCGCCCATCCTCGCCCTCGCTCTGTCTCTCTTCCACCAGACTCTCATCCGACAATTGCACTCTGCATCAACACCAGCAAAAACAATCCTCTCACCACCAACACACTCGCTCTATCACAACAAACGTGCTCGCAGGAGGCGCGGATCCATCGGCACAGCCACACTTCCGGCAGAACCGGCCCAGCGTCGAGCTGACGACGACTTTCCAGCAGGCTAACCGCTCCTGTCACGCACCCAGTGCCCGCAACACAACACCCCAAGACTGCCGCTTGCCTGCCTAAGGACCGCTCAAACACGATCAGCGACTCCCCAGCAGTCGAACAAACAATAGCGACATGGCTACCGCCGTCCAGCCTGCCATGACCATGGCCCCCTTCAACGGCCACCCGAACCAATGCGTCGACCCCAATGAGTTCTTCGACTTTGGCCAGATGCCCTCGCCCACGCAGCCTGCCACTCTGAAGCGGGAGTCCAGTGCGACATCGACTATGGCCAGTCCCACCAGCACAAACATCGACGACGACCTCCAGACCCCCGCAAAGCCCAGCCACGAGTACGAGCGCTTCAAGCAGCAAACCGGCCTGCCTACCAACTCGCTTCCCGGCCTTAACGCCGGCTACAACACGGGCTTCCCCATGTTCTCGTCCACTGGCTTGGACGAGATGGCCATGATGGGCGGCGACTCCATGATGGACGGCGCCTGGAACAACGGCCTGCCCATGGACGTCGGCATGAACATGGCCGTCGACTACCGCCAGAACAGCTTCGTCTTCAACGAGGCTGCCCAAGACGACTTCGTCGACCCCAGCGCCATCACACAAGAGGAGGTCACCAACGTCAGGGTCTGGCCCGGTATGCATCAACAGCAGGCTGCCATGGCCAAGGCGCAGGCGCAGGCCCAGCAGCAGCGCGCACAGCAGTTGGCCCACCAGAAGCAACAGCAGGCCCTCCAGCAACAGCAGCAGCAAGCGCAACAACAGCAACAGAACCGCATGGCCTCCACCAGCTCGGCCAGCCGCAAGACCTCGAGCCCGCTCAGCGACGCCCACACCGAGGAGATGATCACCCGCGTCGTCGCACAGATCCGGGCCGACAGCCAGAACGCGTCTGCCAACATGGCCAACGACAACCAAGGACTCCTCCCCCACATCATCCGCGCCAAGAAGGACGAAGAGGACATGGACGAGGACGAGAGGCTGCTTGCGTCCGAGGAGGGCAAGAAGCTCAGCTCCAAGGAGCGCCGCCAGCTCCGTAACAAGGTCTCCGCTCGCGCTTTCCGCTCGAGAAGGAAGGGTAAGCCACCACGATACCATTACATCTGCAACAACAACTAACATCACCAGAATACATTGGCCAGCTCGAAGGCGAGGTTGCCATGAAGGTCAACGAGGCCAACGAACTCCGCTCCCAGAACCGCCTCCTCATGGAGGAGAACGCCCGCTCGCGCGCTTTCATCGAGCGTCTGCTCCGCCACCAGGCCTTCACTCCCTTCCTCGAGGAGCTCTCTCGCGACGAGTCGCTCCAGGCCAAGGCCCCCATGACCTCAATGCCATCAACCGCAGCACCCGTCGCCGCTGCTCCTGCCCCCACTCAGTTCCAGCAGCAACAGCAGTTCAACGGCATGTCGCAGGCCGAGAACACCCACGTTGGTATGACCATGGTCCCCGAGCCCCAACTCGACTTTGCTATGCTCAACCTGAACACCAACAATGGCAACAACTGGGGTGCTAACAATGGCTTCAACTTCCAGCAACCCGTTGCTTTCGCCGTCACTGAGCTGCCTGAGGGTCCCACCAACCCCCTCGACATCGAGGCTATGTCTGGCAAGGGATACAGCGCTATCCTGAACGCCGAGGACGACTCGACTGTTGAGGAGGTCAAGGCTGACTACCCCATCGTCGAGCGCCCTGTCCAGTCCGAGCCCACCGTTTCCGCTGCCGCCGATGAGACCGAAGAGGTAGACGCCGAGTACGACCTATACTACTCTTCGTCCGCTCCCTCCACCACTGCCGCCGCACCTCATGAGGACCACGAGGCACTCTTCACCAACCCCGAGAAGGCCTTCGCACACTACTCGCTAGTCATCTCAGACGAAGCGAACGAAACACTTCTAGCAGAGCGTCTGGCGAGGAAAATTGCTGCCATGAGCCCCGCCATGCAAAGATTAGCCGACATCACATCGTCGTTTGACTTATAGCCAATGACTTTACAATTTGTCCCTTCTGATCTTTCCTTCTCAAACACTGCAGCGATTTTTGTTTTCATAGACTGTCCTACATGATTGTACGATTCCCTTTGTTTGATCATATATATCCAAGTCGGCTGTTCCGACATGCGACTTGGGTTTCAGCCGCAATCAGCGAGTAGGCCTTCTTTTGCTTTCCTTTGTTCTTTCGGTACTGCGCGATGGTTGTCATGCGTACCTTGATTCTGTTCTGGATGGCGTTCAACGGGCAATGGGTTTTCTTGTAGATATATTCTGACCCCAAGGTCTGTTGGGGGCCGATGAAGTAGTCGGAACTGGGGTTACGTAGAGGTGGATGTGGGATTGAATATAGTGATGAAGTTATTTCGTGTCCCACATGCTTCATTGTGAAGACTTCCTCGTACCATTGTCGCCTACTGACATTCCATCCATCCATCCGCCCGGTCCCAAACCTTCTTACCCCCCACGCCGCCTCTGCCCTACGCTCTTTACCCAGATTAACCACCCGAACCCTCCGTCCTCCTCCCCCGTATCTGCACCCTGCCCCAATGCACGTCTACCCTACATACCGATATCGCGTCCCGACAACCGTTTTTAATATAACATTTCCGTGTCACACGTCCACATTCCACATTCCACATCGCACATTCCTCATCCTCCAACACAATGTTGTAAAACACGAGGGACGCATGCGCCGGGTACTATCATTGTCTCCCGATGCGTATACTGGGGATAGTGTTATAGGGGTGTATCCTGGGGGTATAGGATGGATTGTATGGGTGAATTACAGGGATGGTGATGGAGGAGGAGGAGGGGAGATAGTGGGTGGAGGGTGGTAGAGGAGGGAGATGGGGTGGGGGTATGTTGTTGCAGTGGTGTTCGGGTGGCTGGCGTGGCACGGTAATGTATATGCGGAGAGGTGGGTGCATGATTTCTAAGGTTCCAAGGTTGTGTTGAAGACATTGGAAAGAGAAGTATCACACTGTCTAGATGGATACGCATACGTTGAACTTGATGAATTGATATATACCCTGGACTTTGTATCCAGCATCCGTAACGCCTATTACCCCTAATATGCAAACACTGGAATTGAACTCTCTCATCCTCCCTCTTTCGATTCACTTCCTCTCCATATCTGATAGAGTCATGCCCCCGCTCAATGCGTTCCTTGCTCGTGCATGTTGGTCTTGCCAGCGGGTTCGTGCGCCGTCGACGGCTGCGCCTTCTTTTGCTGCGACGATTGTTGTGTAGGTTATGCCGAATGCTGGGGTGGTGTGTTAGTTAGGTGTTGAGTGTTGGATGTTGGATGCGACTGGTAGAGAGAAAGAGAAAGAGATAGAAGACTTACCTAGAAAGGCGGCGAAGGAGGGGAGGTAGGATCTTGGTACTGCTGGCATTTTGTGTGGGTTGGTGGTATATGTTGAGAGTTGTTGGCTTGAGTGATGATTGGTGAGATAACAAGATCGCTGATTGCTTGTATGCAAGAGGCTTATTGTATGTGCGGTATGAGGTGTTGAAGGTTAATAGATTTGTATAGCTGAGGATGGATGTGACTGGTTGTGATGATGAATATCAACGGAAGAAACCCATGTACCTTATATCTCACGATTCCTTCAAGCAATACTCACGGTGTCGGTACCTGCCGACGATGCCAACTCTCTCCTCACACAGCTTTGTTGCGTGATCCTATGATACTAACACCAAGGCATGCGCCTCACACCAACACGCAAAAACTCCAACCCAGTTCCTGAGATCGCGAGACACGACAGACAATCCGCAAAACCATTCGTCGAATTCACCGAATATACGACCACATCGTCTGATACCCCTCAATAATCCACAACGAAAGAGTTTTGGTGGCGAGACACATGCACCAAGAACACCGTGTTCGGGCGCTGCCGGGATGCGTGTGGGGTGACCCGTTGGCGAGGGTCGTACGATAGTAGGGCGACCGCTCAGCCGGGTTTGTAGCGCATGGTGGGTACGTAAACCTGCTTTTATTAGCTGCGCTTTGCGATTTTGGGGTTGCTGTTTATAGTGATGGGGTCGTGATTGCTTGTACGTTGGTTTGATGGTGAAGGAAGGATGGGGTTGGGAGGGACGGTAGCGCCGCTGAGGCAACGACGGATTGGGTCTCTTTGGGTGTTGGAGCATCAACGGACTCTATTCTCAAGGCTTCACTTTAGTCTAGTCCTAGATTTTTGATTGCTAAAGAGGTGGTATTTAATTGTCACGCGAGGCGATTACCAATGTTTTGGCAGAGGCATTTCTCGCGGCCTCCTTTCCTCTACACGCGCACAAAGAGGACAAGCATCTATGAAAGGCTGTCTGATCTCCAATTCTTATTCTTGTTTTGTTTTAGAGAAACCTGAAAGAAATTCCCTATTGGAACGTCCTTGGTGGGTGGCTCATAACACTGTAATCCGGTAGCGATGCTTCGACTATCTGTAACCTCAGTCCAACCACTCTTTCTCTTGTGTCATGATGACCTTCAAAGTCATGAAGTTGTTACATCCGCTTCAACCTCCCGAAGCGCTTGCCTTCCTCCCAGTTGCGTTGCCACTCGCTCTCAGTGATGCACTCACCGACCTGACAAGTCCACATCCTCCCAAGCCAAAACTCCTTCGGGTATTCCTCGAAGTCGAACACTCGTCCATCGCTGATTGATTTCTCGCTCATACCTGCTGTCGGCTTGGGCCTGATTGTGATATTGATGTGGTCGTCGCGAAAGAAGTAAGATGCTCCTCTGCTCACAATCCACTTATAGAATATGCGGAGATAACCTCTTGTGCGCTGCAGGTTCAGGGAAGGCTGTCTGAGATCACCGTCAAGCTCAAGAGCTATCTCGATTTCTAGCTTCGAGCCAGCTGCCGTTATATTGTGACGTAGAGCCTGATGCGGAACTTCGGGCACATCCTGATCTTCGGGGCCATTTTGGCGACTAGGACTATAGCGCTCGATACGTGTCTTCAGGCTCTCACAGCGAAGGTTAGGTAAAGCATAACACGCTATAACGCTGATGACGTTGTCACACAAGTCCTCCGCATCGGCGAAGATACGAAGTGGCTGGCCGTCCACCCTTGACCCTAGCATGGCAGAAACTTCGTCGAATATCTGGCGACAGGTTGTGAGTAGTGCCATGCACGGGATGCGTTCCAAGACCAGGGTGAAGGGCGTGATGGATGGCTCACGAAGTGTTCGGACCGTGTAGCGACGGGTTTCGGCAGGGAATAGGTCGTATATTTCCAAGCGGATGTCCTTGGGTAGGTCGAGGAAGCGGAACTCTTGAGTATCTGCCATCGCGAGCTAACCGGCAGTCGGTTGTTAGTGCAGTGAACTGTATAGGAAGCGCTTGGCTTTTACCTACTGATGTCTTCGGGATTACTCGGTCGAAGTTGCGCAGTGTCAGGTGTAGCCCGCGATAGCAGTCGTGAATGGAACCGCGCTTGGGAACGGTTGGTAGAGGTGAGAGAGAGAAAGATTGGAAGCTCTTGCCTACAACAAGTCGAGACGCTGTATGCGGACTAGTAAGACAACAAAACTGGACCCTGACGGTGAGAGGCGGCGCAAGGCAAGCACGCTCGCTGCAGCTAGGGAAGGAACTCATGAATGCCACAAGAGAAGCCAAATGTTTGGGTAAAGTTCAGATTAATTAAAGAAATATTGATAAACTACTCGGACGTTTGTCTGCCCTGCAGTGAGCTGCAGATGTACACCGTTCCTTCCAAGCAAGATGACTCCTCCACCAATACGCATGCGCGTCCTTCTTTCCTTTCCGCCGTTCTCAGAGACAGCGACGCTCTAGCCAATAGCACATGCTCGCGAGTTCGGGGCTCGAGCGAGCACACGCATCAGGCGTGCATCTAGCTGTCTCTTCCACCATTGTCTTCGCTTCCGCCGCCTATGCGTGAAGCCGGAGTCCTAGGGCTGAGCAATGTTGAACCAACCAGATAGCGCTTGCGGGCCGGCCCAGCTGGGCCGACGCAGGTGCTGTCTGATCTGCTACGAGTCCGTGCCCAGATGATATCCCACGCCTCCGGCTGGCTACCAGAGTCATCGTTGGTTTGGTCGTTAATTCGTGTCGTGTTCGTCGTAAAAACATGTATCGTCCGTTGAAATGGAAACCCATGCGTAGGAGTAGAGATGTGCAAAGAACCAGCACTCTAATCATCACGGATCTTCGTAATCGTAGAAACCATCGAAAAGATCCGTGACCACCTTGAGCATTGGCTCCATCAAGGTCCTCTCATCCTCCGGTAGTCCACCAAAGATGCGCAGTCGTTGAGTCTCCAACTCTTGCTCCTGCTCCTGTTGTAGTCGAAGCCGGGTTTGCCATGCAGTGTAGGTTTGCTGCCAGTGGTTCGCATTGGCACCCGCAATGGAGCTTTGAGGATGGAAGCAGGAGCTGGTTGCGGAGAGAGTTGAAGATGTAGTGCTGACCGACTCGCTTCGAGTGTGGTTGATGACCTGCGGGGGTGAATTGTCGTGGTTGTTGTTGCGGTTCCGAGGACGACTTCTAGTTCGTTTTCTGTTGTGACGTTTGCCCATGTCGTCTATTTCAAGTTCTTGTGGATGTGTGAATAAGTAATAATAGGGTTGAGGGGAGATGGAGAGTGGTGGGGCGAAAAGCCGCAAAGGCGGCTGATAGTCTCAGGAGAGTCAAGCATTGGAGCAAGATACCTACCCAGCCTTATATACATGGGATGACATTGAATCACGTATGCAGGTACAAGCTAAGTCAAGGATGTCAGTAGGCTGCAGAGTGACTCAGAGCCGCACGATGGTGTGACGGGGAGAAGGAAGATGCTAGATCACAGCCTAGATGACAGCGAATGCGGGCCCACTATTGCACCCGTGCCCGCCCATGATTGGTCACATGGCATCGCCGAAATTCGGGACCTGCAGGAGTCATCCTCGCGGCGGGCACGCACAACTCATGTCTCCACAGAGTCTTCACCTCTCTTTGCTCCAACTCATCGCAATTTCCTTGTTTCACCTTCTTTTGCTTCTTCGACTCACAACTCTGACGACATGTATACGGACAAAGGGCGCGCGCGTGATGTGCACAACCGTGGCGGTGCGCTATTCTGCCTTCTCTTCCTACCACGGGACTCTTGCAAACTGGGGCTATGCAACAGTCACCGCGAACTCAGGGGACAAATGACTACAGACAAGCGCATGCAGGACTTGTACCTGTTGAACGACCGACATGTGCCTGGCCATGCGACAGCCCAGGATCGCGGAGGGCGGATGGAAAACCTCGACCGCGCTCTGACCGCCATGGGGTCGAGGGCGACGGGATGCGCTGCGTGGGGATGCCACATCACGTTGCCGACCGCCATGTCGACTAGACGGTGAACGTGAACCCGGAAGTTATACTATGTGTTAACATGGGATGAAGTTTTTGATGAGAAAGACATTCGCACAGGCTCCCAAGGTCATTACTCACGTCATCTGCCACACTAGCCACACGGGTGACCAGTTATCGCGATCGCACCTCTCGCTATCAGTTCGGCACCCGACCAGCGGCCATGTTCGCAGCAAACCTGGAATAGCAGCTGCAACGATTTGTCGCCCAGTCGCTGCCTACACCCGCGAACGAAGGATCATGCTAATGCTAGCCAAGTCAAGCGAGTCAGACGCGTGCCTGCGCAAGGCTACAGGCACGTCGCGCAAACACGTGCTCAGGAATGTTGGACCATCCAGGCCTCCATGAGACGACCTCACTAATCCTGTATCGACGTCAACGACATCTTCTGCCTGAGGCACTCGTCACATCATGAGAGTCGGTGCTTTCCCAACATGTTTCGCCGACATCTTACTTCCGGCTCTCCACCATGTGCACCCCGGCCCCAAGTCAGACTAGCATGTCAATGTCCACCACTCGAAACACACGAAAAAGCTGCGGAAACGCGTAAGCTCGACCATTTTCTGTTCTAAACAGCGTCATCTGTGTCACGTCCAGACGTGAATCATCGATTTGGGGCTATTCGGCTTGGTGTCGTGGGTGATGTTGTAAGATCAGCCGTCGCAGGTAAGAATAGATCAAGTAGCCAATATTTCTTTCTATCGATCTGTAGACCTTCAAATCGAGCTTGCATTGCTCTTTGTCATTCCACATCTTCACTATGACTTTTAGCACGCGAGCGACGCTGCTTAGCTTAGGTATGGAGCCAATCCGGAAATCTGAGGACTCAATTGACTTGACGATAGTAGCTACCGCAGTATCTGCGCAGTATGGCCCCGGTGGTCAATACGGTCCAGGCGGATTTGGAGGAGGTAGTGACAGCGGCGACAACGATTTCGGCTCATCGTTTGGCGGCGGCCGTGGCGGCTTCTCATCAGAATCACGACACAAGATCATCGTAGCCCATGGCGTCCTCGCAGCCTTGGCCTTTGTCTTATTCTTCCCAGTTGGATCGATTCTCATACGACTAGGATCGTTTCGCGGTGTCTGGATCGTCCATGGCATATTTCAACTCTTTGCGTATGTTGTGTACATCGCAGCATTCGGTCTCGGCGTGTGGATGATCAACAACATCCCAGTCAACATGCTCGACAACTACCACCCGATTATTGGCATCATAGTGTTTGTCCTGCTTTTCTTCCAACCCATACTTGGCTTCGTCCACCACCTCAAGTTCAAGAAATACAGCCGCCGAACTATTTGGTCATACGGTCACCTCTGGCTGGGACGTATCCTCATCACACTGGGAATGATTAACGGTGGTCTTGGCCTGCTGCTTGCATCGGACGCACCCGCATTTACCGGATTTGCTCCCAGTCAAGGCCAGATCATCGCATATGGAGTCATTGCCGGGATCATGTGGTTGCTTTGGGTTTCGGCCTCGATCTATGGGGAGAGGAAGAGAACGATCTCAAGCCGGGGGGCAGTGAACAAGGAGGTTGATACTGGGTCGCCTGCGCGCCCCTATGATGATGGCAAGGAATTGTATGCGTACGGTAGTTCCTATTCCTGTTCTCATACACACATTGCTAACCCAATAACAGGCAGCGAACTTATGCTTAAAGTTACCGATACATCCTCAGAGCCGTCTGCAGTAGCGTGCTACAATACCAAAAGATTTATTTCGTGATCTATCTAATATTCTCTCGTGCAACTCACATGACCTCGCGTGCCCGCCAAGTCTTTGTCTGCCTTCTTGCCTTGTCAACAATCGTCCAATACCCACAGGCAGAACCCTTTATCTTTTGGTTATTCGGACGACTCTTCGCCTTCCGCCTTCTTGCATGCGTTGGCAAGCAACACGATTCCGATGTTCAAGATGATGAACCCAATCTGCGAACGAAAAAGTGCATTAGTTAACGTTCAATGTGCGCAACATATTTCTTCCACTACCGCAAAAGGAATAGACTTACCGGTAAGGCAAAGAACCAAGACATGCTTATTTCTAATACAAAGTTCCCCTTCTCATCTGGATCTTTCTCGTGTAGCACATACGCCAAGATACAGGCTGCAACGTATGTCATCCCAGTGAAATGATGAATAGCAGATCGACCAGAATACGACATATCCTTAGGAAGCTTATGGTGTGCAATCAAGCACCCCATCAGCAATAACATTGCTGCCATCTGTTCACATAAATCAGTAAGAATCTCTTCATACAGGATTTGGGGTAGCTAGCTAAGAGACGGGCATAGAAAAAGCGACTTACCGGTACGAAAACGGCCCACATCAACATGACCTCCGTGATATCGTGATTCATTTGATAAAGTGCTACGGCAGCTACGGTAAGAAATGTCAAAAGCATCATGATTGCTGGTGGTGACCGGATGAACGAGGGCCGACGGGTGTGAGGTGGAGAATATGAGGAGGACGCGGACTCGAGGTCGCCTTCTTCGTCATACCTGCTTCCTAGGTTACTGCCGTAGTTGAAATGCATGTTGCGTGCTGAATATGGTGGTAGCGTTGTGGGACGAGAATTCTAGGTGATCAGTGCAATGTGTGTGGTGGAAAGGCTTCGATTATTTTGCGCGAAACAATGAAACAATCAGATATTTACTGCTCGTTTTCACTGTGAAAGCTACGGCAAAGTAACAACGCACGAGCAAACGTGCCTTTGCGCAGAGAAGCCGCGTTACTCCTTCGGTACCCTCTGGTGTCCATCAACTCTCCAACTCCTTTCCTCACCTTGTTCGAACCAACAGTCCAAAGCAGCAAGGCTCCCCCGCTCGTGACTCGGGTACTGTGTTGTCATCTTGTTTATTCCATACCGTCACAGCTAGAAGCACGGCCAGGTTCAATACGAAGTATCCCATCTGTCGTTAAGAAACGCGTC